CAGGGAGTGGTGGTAGAAGGCAGAAAGATATATAAGGCATGAGGGCCAGGAACTAGAAGCATTTGGCTGGTTAAGCTTTTAGCTGGTTAAGCTTCGGGCTTTTGAGCAGCAGTTCAGCTGAGAGCCATTGGTATGAGGACTCAGAGGCCTCCAGTCTGAGGAAACAAGACCATCTGAGGGTCCAGGGAGGTGAGGTAGCTGTGGCTTGTTCTCCTTCTCTGACCTTCCAGTGTTCACCCCAATAACTGGCCTCAGGTTTGATTTTATTAATGAGAACTTTTAAGATTCATGCTACATCTGGCACCCAATGTTCATGGTATGAATTCATAAAAAAGCTGCTTGCCTGTGGCCTTGTGGGCCCCACCTCAGGCCCAAGCTACACTTGGCCGGTTGTGGTGGAGCACACCCTAGGATTTACTGAAGGAGGCAAAGGCAGGAGGATCCTGAGTTTGAGGGCAGCCTAAGAGGCTTGCTAAGGAGAAGCTTCAGCCGGGCGGAGCCACAAACAGTAGTGGGACCATGGAGGCAGTGACTGCTGCTTCAAGTTGCTGGCTCCTTCTCATCATGTTGGTGATGCTGCTACCTGGGACTGCTGCTTTTTCAGAGAATTGCCTGGACCATGACCATTGTGTTACAAAAAAACATTGGCAAAGGTCAGTTTGGAAACATTTGGCAAGACAAATGGTGGGGAGAAATTGCTGTGAAAATATTCTCTTCTAGGGAAGAACATTCATGGTTCCAAGAGACAGACATGTATAAGACTGTGGTTACTCCAAACCACGGAGGAGGAACAAAAAAAGGGGGGGAGGAAACTATGACCATGCCTAACAGTGATTTTGAAATCTTCAAAAGGATGATGGAACTCCACAATGACGGTTCCACATGGACTATGGTAAAGCCATTAAACTGATTAACACCATGGAAAGATCTGCTTTGGCCTACAAACTACTCAGGACAATTTTGAGATGGCTAGCTGAGATGATTCAGCCTGACAGACTACTTGAACAAGGACTTGAAACAAGCCCTGCACTTTCTCATTTTGCAGCGACTGGACAAATGATACAGGACTTGACAATTAACCCAAAAATTTTCTTTTCAGATTCCTTAAAGATGTCTTCACCCCTAGAAAGCGGGAAGTAATTTTAAGAAAATGACACTGACATTCCCAAGAGGTGGGATGGGAGGTTTTTGGTCATTTAATGAGTTATGGATATTGTCATTGTTTATGATGGTTGGTTACAAGTTATTGTTAATGGTCAGGAAAAAAACTGAACAAGGAGATTAGATTCAGAGGTTTTGCTTAAGAAAGAGAAAGAAAAAGAAAAAAGAACATAGATTTGAGGTAGATAATTGAATCTACTCTGAGAAAAAAGATAAAGAAATGATAGGATAAATGGGTAGATCATTGAATATACACTGAAAAGAAAAAGGGGAAGATATAAAAATGACAAAAGGTAGACTACTGAATCTATTATGAAAAGAAAAAAGAGAATATAGATATGATAAGATAAAAAGGGAGATTATGGAATCTACTTTTAAAAAGGAACTACTTGTTTTAAATAAGATAAGTAATGAAAATTTTTCGTCTGAGTTTATCAAATGTTACTGGACTGGACATTGTTATATATTAATGGAGTTTTTATCTGAATCTGTCAAATGTTAATGGACTAGACATCATTAATGTAATTCTTGACTGTATATATTGCATATACTTATTGGATAGTTTTTCTTGTATTAGTTATAAGCTTTTTTAAATTTTAAACAAAAAGGGGGAAATGAGGTGGTATTGTGTTCCCCAAAATATTGTGTACCCTAATAAACTTATCTGGGGTCAGAGACAGAACAGCCATAATATTAAACATAGAGTATAGGCAGTGGTAGCACACGCCTTTAATCCTAGCATTCCAGAGGCAGAAATCCATCTGTTCAAGGATACAGCCAAGCATGGTGACTCACGCCTTTAATCCCAGAAATCCAGCCTTTAATCCCAGGGAGTGGTGGTAGAAGGCAGAAAGATATATAAGGCATGAGGGCCAGGAACTAGAAGCATTTGGCTGGTTAAGCTTTTAGCTGGTTAAGCTTCAGGCTTTTGAGCAGCAGTTCAGCTGAGACCCATTGGTATGAGGACCCAGAGGCCTCCAGTCTGACGAAACAAGACCATCTGAGGATCTGGGGAGGGGAGGTAGCTGTGGCTTCTGATTCTGGTTCTGGTTCTCTGATCTTCCAGTTCACCCCAATAACTGGCCTCAGGTTTGATTGTTATTAATAAGAACTTTTAAGATTCATGCTATAGGGAGGAAGGGAAAGAGAAAGAATAAATCTGAATATGAATCACTTTATGATATCAGAATATCCACAATCCACTCCACTCAAAAAGACATGCCTCTGTTCAACAAGCTTTGTGGGGCTTTTAAAATCTGTACCAAACAGTCATTCCTTTACTCTGCTTTATATCCTCCTGCATTCCCTTCTCTCTGCTGCTCACTCATCTTCATTCCAACACTTTTTATTTCTCTTTGTGCTCCTTCACTACAAATTTGGCCTGTACTCATCATTATTAAACACCTCTACCAGTCCCAGGTATCCTATTTACCCTCATTCACATTTTCTAATAAAAATGTTTATGTACTCAGAAACCTTCCAAAAAATTCTGTAGAATAATAAATAAACAAGGAAGAGTATTATTGAGTGGAAATTATGGATCCAACTTTGGGAACTTGTGACCTTAAGCAATAGTCCAAAGCAAGACCTTTCTGATCTCTGGAACAGTTTCTTTATCTAACAGATGAGAGCAATGGATCTATTGTATTGACTGTCTGAGGCAGTTCAGTATGTACTTCACACAGGACACATTTACTTCACTTCCTGTGCCTGTTGCCAGAACCTGTTCACTGGCTTTCTTGTTCCTTTAAGATATGTTCTTCTCAAAACCAGCTTGCAATTCATTTCTTAATTGCAATTTTTCCATTTTATTTTCTCTACAGGCTGTAGCCATGCAGGGATCATAAGTCTACTCATTTTTCTGAATTATTCAGAAAACTGTAACTTTTCCCTTTCTTCTATATCTTTTCTAAGCATGTGTTTCCGAACACTTTGGGCTCTTCCCACCCCCAGTGTTTTGGGCTTCCTTATTATTTCTCTAAAGTCTCCCTTCCCACCTTCCCACCATGTGGCTGCTGGTCTGCCATGTTACTAACCTCCATGCCAGCTTAAAATAGCCTTTTCTGGAAAAAAAGTTTGTGTGTGTGTGTGTGTGTGTGTGTGTGTGTGTGTGTGTGTGTGATGTTTCTTAAATGATGACCAAAATCACTTAGCACCTCCATGTAGCAGATGTTGTTCTACATCCTCTACAATTATCAATTCATTTGTCACCACCACCTTAATGAGGCAGACATTGGTATCCTTATTTTATAGATGAGGAAACAGCAAAGAGAAAATAAGAGCTGTGCCCTATGTCACACAGCTGGCTGAAGTGCTTTTGTTCTACCCACATGGAAATCTTGGGTAGGGTGAAAAGACCATTAGAAGCAGTGCTAATTAAAACAATGTGAATGAAAGACAATATCTCAGGTTGGTTCCAGAGTGAATTGGATGGTACTGTCCTGGAAGGGTTCCTGAGGACATTTATATGCATATGGAACATTATATGCATATGGTGTATGATGAAGACCCATTTATTTGAACTGTTCTATATTAGCTTATAAGTGTCTTGCTATACTTAGACCTGCTAATAAAAGTGCAAGTTAATAATGTACAAAAAAGACAAAATTGTGAGTAGGTGAGAAGAGTCTCTTCAATCACTATTCTTTGGAAGATTTTGTTTATCTCTGTGTGGCAGGAATAAACAGGTGGTGGTGGCAGCAGGTGGTACCCTTTAGTGGCATAGTCTTTGTGCAGAATTCTGGTATGTGAGCCTTTAGCTCTACAAATATTTGCACTAATCACAGCCATTTGCTTTAGACAATCATAGCCTTGCCTCTTAGCACCAATCATAGATATTGTGTTTGAACCAACTACAGCCTTGCCTCTTCAGCACCAGTCACAGTAATCCCTTTGCTAGGCCAGTTGAGGAAATGTTCCCCTTCAAGTTGTAGGGTGTTTTTGAGTTCTCCAAGTTTTGTGGTAGGAAAAGCTGTGATACAAATGTTCTCAAGCAAGCCTGTTTGAAGTTGTATCACCACCTGCTGCATCTACCACCTGACTTGCCACCAAACAGAAAGAAAAACAAAATTTGCCAAAGACCAGTGGTTGGAAATCTTCTAGCCTGCCCACTATTTCTGTTAGGAGAAAGGGCCCACAGCCAGCTGGTAGGTAACACCTTAGTGAGGTGTTTTATTTGGGCTATCCTGCACTATTTAAAAAATAGCTTATTGAGTACACTGCAAGGGAGCAGTGAAGTGTGCAGTAAGTAACTGCATGCAGTTTTATAATTTTAATTTTAATTTATAATTTTAAGCTCAGTATACAATGTTAGATTTATTCATCTCTCTTAAGGTTCCCCATGATGTCCAGAAAATAAAATATCAAAGCCCTGTCCCTTGTTGAGAAAGTCCTATACCATGTAGTCAATGCCCACTCCTCCCTGTTCCCAAAACAATGACAGACTGCTTTCTCTGGAGAGGGAGATACACTGTCATCTCACTTAATACACTACCACATTCTTCTCAGTGTATGTTTGTGGCCCCATGTGGCAGATAATTTTTCAGCTTGTTGTTTGCACAGACTTATGGTCCTTTATATGCTGGAACACAAACTCACAGTTCTAGACAATGGGTGGAGCCAGGGCTTTCCCCTAAACTCCTACTCAAAAGAAGGTAAACCATTCACACCACTTGGTCTTCTTGTTAATTGCATCTGCAACTCCGTGGCTGCCCTCTGAATTCACCACACAAAATTCTTCCTTGTTAGAACATTTGTCTTAGTTGGACACTCTCTTTCTCCACCCTATCTCTCTCTCTCTCTCTCTCTCTCTCTCTCTCTCTCTCTCTCTCTCTCTCTCTCTCTC